GAGAGAGAGAGATAAACGACAATATCTCTAAATCACTGACTGTTATCTCCGATCTCATCGACAGTTTAGACAATTTTTGTCAAATAAATAATATACCAAAAGATAATTATAAGTTTATTAACAAATATATAAAATGGGACTAAAAAACAAAACAAATATATTTGACAGCACTGTAGAGCTGTATCGGCAATAAATACAGCAGTCGTTTTGGTATACATACTCCAAATATAGCCACAACCATCATCATCATTTTGACAATCTAGATAGAAAAAAAGCAAATAAACAAATCAAATAAATGGGTTAACAGAATATTCCGGATTTTCGTTTTGATAACTCAAGTCAATAAAAATTAGCGCCAAAAAGGTGTCACACATTTGTCATGACGTAAACACATTTTCAGCGATATTTTTAATGATTGTATAGTTTATTATATACGGTATCAAAATGAGCATGGTGACGTACCTTTCGTTTAGACTTAATGCTCTCCATTTGTTTGGCAGTACACTCGCCGATACTCTGACTGCCCCACAGTTCCCGACCCACACGGAAATACGTGTAACTCATGGACACGATTGGCAGCATATATGTGACCAACAATATTATGACATTATATCTGTCGAGAAAAATATCAAAAATGAATTAATGAATAAATGCCGTGAAAATCAAATTTAAACAAAATGACATTTTTCATTGTCATGCGAGCCGTATATGACATTGTGATCGTTTGACACCAAACAAAGCGACTGCAAATTGATTTTAGCATTAATGAAAAAATTGGTTATTTCATGCATTTTGCGATCAATTTTCTGGATTTATTTTTTAAACACAGAATATCCGTTGAAACACTATATATAAAGTACAGACATGTATATTATGTATGAAAATCATATTAAATTATATAACAAAATAATAGTCGGCGCGAAAAATGTTCAAAAATAGTTGCAAATAAATTTTGAGTGAATATTATTTTCAGTTCATGTAATACAGTAATAACTTAACTGTAATAACTTATGATAGTTTTATTGTCGAAATGTATAGCACATAAAAACACCCTCGCACTTTTGTTAGTGTTAACTAATAATATAAAGATTATTTGTGTTATAATAATAATAATTAAATAGTAGTCGTAAAATAAAAGTTAAATTCAAGAATAATATTTTATTTATATATTTATTTGCATAAATAAAAGCATTAAATATTTATGTATATTTTGTTTTGAGGCCACAATTTTTGAGATTAATTTTTCACGACTCTCTCGCGAAGTATATATACAATTGTTTTATGATTTTTGTATGAAAATGCAGTGTTTAAGTCATATTTCGTTTGAATTTAAATTATTAGCTTATTTAGAAAAAGGAGAGAGAGAGAGAGAGAGAGAGAGAGAGAGAGATGCCTAAAGAAATCATTATCTCAATATAGGAATAGTTAATATTTCTACAGATTTATTTTTGATTTACATATTTGAAATTTATTGTATATTTTGTATATAAAGTGATTATATTTCATGAAATATGAGATTTTCACAAAACAATCTTAAAATCCAAATATCACCAAAATAAAAGGTTAAACTAAGGATTATAATTAAATTAATAAATAATATAAAACTTATATTTCTAAAGTCTTTACGTTAAGCTGAACTCCAATAATAATGTTTTTACTTTAATTTTTCTCTTCAGTTAATAAGGAGTTTGTTTTTAATGCTTAATTACAATGGATTGCATTTAAGCCAAAGTTAGTGCCATTGCTTTCCGACCGGTAATAATACTCTACTCTCAGAGCGTAATTCCCTATCAAATGATTGCTTTATAACATTAGATATAAAACCAGGAGAGAGAGAGCAAGAATTGAGACCTAAATAAGTCACTTGTCTTATCCGTTGTAATTCATTGTCTTAATTAACACGAGATTTGGTGCCAATAAGTGGTATTAAAGAGATTTTCGTTTACAACAAGTTTTTAATTTAACTCTCAAATCAAATCTTATAATTGATTCGTTTTATGATATTTCACTAAAATGTTATGAAATACAACATATTTTTATAGCTATTGTGTTCAGTGAATAAGAAATGAAAGTATTTTTTCAAATAACTCGACAAATGAATAAATTATTGAAATTCAATTCAAAACTATTTATTAATTCACAATTTATTAAATGATTATTTCGTTGATATTTATATTAAACGTTTTCAAACAGAGAGTGAGGTATATATAAAGTTGTTGCAGGAATTTATCTTAATATAAATCATTGGCCAAAACAGCCAAATGTTGTGATGAATGGGATTCCTATGAATTCCTTATGAAAATAAATGCCTAAACTATTGGTTGTGGAAAAGACATGTCTGTAATAAACACTCGGCATTCATATAATATATGTTTATATAGACTCTCCGAGAGAGAGAGAGAGAGAGAGAGAGAGAGACTTAATATTCATAAAAGTCTTAAGTCATAGAAATGTGGGACAAAACAAAACACTCAAAACCCTGTATTTAATTTCGGCGGACGAGTGGCTGAACAGCACTACAGAAACAAAATGTTAATTCATTGAAAAGACATTTGGTTTGCGCCGCAAAAATCACGTCAAAAGTCATTTGCATTTAAATGCCAAAAACGCATAATAAAAATGAGATATTATTTTGCATTTTTTAAACAAAAAATATACAAAAATATTTTATTTTTTGTTAAGATTTGATTCATTCATAATATTTCTCTCTATTATTTCAATTCCTTTGATGAAAATCTTATTCCCATTCCTTAATAGGCTCTACAATATAACCTGAAGTCAAATATTATTATTATTGTTATGATTATGTATATAAAGAATAATTTCGATGTTAACAACAACTGACAGACAATTTATAAATGTAAAAATAAAAACAACATTTTTATTATTACCTTAATTTAAAAGCATTTTCAAAGGGATTACAAAATTGAGTGTCTGTTTACGACAAACCTATATAACAATCTAGTGGTCAGTGAATGCGTGACTATAAATACACATTTGAGATAAATATCGCTGAGATTTTGCTAAACAATACCATTTGTTGGCATAAAATAAAACAAAAAGTGATTTAGATTTGCATATTATTGGCCGAAAGAATACATTAATAAATTATTTTATGATTTTTAAATAAATGTATTCTTCATTTCAATTCAATTGACGGCTGAGAGTAGAGTTAATGTGGGGTTAAATGAGAGAAATTATGTTTTGTTTTTTGCAATAGTATTAAGTGAGGACTCAATCTGTTTGGAGAGGAAATGTCTCATTATTTTCGGTTTATTTTCAAATAATGTCGTAAACAGAGAGATGGAGAGACAAATGGAGAGAGAGGGAGAGAGGGAGAGAGAGAGAGAGAGAGAGAGAGAGAGAAGGTTGTGGAGAAGACATGTCTGTAATAAACACTCGGCATTCATATAATATATGTTTATATAGACTCTCCGAGAGAGAGAGAGAGAGAGAGAGAGAGAGAGAATAAGATTAATGTAAAGGAAATATATTTTATTTATATTAATAATAATAATAAATCATTTATGAATCATTGAATCCATTGTATAATCAGAAAATCGTTAAACATATTATAATTGATTTTCGCATTAAATCCCAATGCAATCAATTATATTGTTAATTGAAATTTTAGTTTCGTATTTATCACACAATTAATTTTAGACACAAAATAAAGAGTAAAATTCCTGAATAGTGTAGTATTATTTTACGTCAAGAATATTCTTGAAATAGCATTGAATAAAATGTAAAACTTGTGGAAACAACCCATGAATTTTAATCAGGTAAAAAAATATTTCCAGATATATTGCATTTGTGTGTCAAATATATTATAATTTTTGATCCCATATTTCTATGAATTTTTCAACAGAATTTTGAATACAATTCTGTCAACAAATTTAATATATATTCTTATGATTTAAAACATTTAGATTCTTTCAAATATATATTTCTATATTCCTATACTTAATATATTCTTATGGTATTTATACAAAGCATTAGATATTATTTGAATTATTGGGTGATAACAGGTGGTGGGCGGCAATGGGTGTCCGCACAAGTGTTGAGCTGTTTATTGTGTGAATAAAACATCTATAACTCATAATTGTAGGGAAAACAACAGACGGCTATCCTTTTGAAATAAAGTTTTTTATGAAATAATATTTCGGATATAAAAAGGTATAAAATTAAACATAAAAACTATTTTCAGCGCTTAATAATAGAGCTAATAATTTAAGACAAACTTATGTTTTGTATTGCGATAACAGTTGTCTACAAGAATTACCATTCATTTACCAAGAATTTATGAACAAAAATTCCGCCCACTATTCAAGTCCTCTTACTTTCATTAATAAATTATAAATAATTTTTGGATTGGAGAGAGAGAGAGAGAGAGAGAGAGAGAGAGAGAGAGATGGCTAATAATTAGTTTATAAAGAGAAAAATATATTTAAAAATATTATATCCTGTAATAGTCTGTATATATGATGACTTATACCTTGTGACAAAGAATTTTGAAAAATAAATGCTTAAATAAATAACCTAGATTAAATTTTAAAAACTCTCATTCATACAAATGATATTTGCCATAAAGCAAATTCATTTAAGTTTCATCGATTTGTTTTAAACATTTATTTAACATTTGGTTTTTTTAATGCCAAACATCTTATTTATATCTGGATTTAAAATAACAAATTCTGACAAAAATATCCTATAATTAGACTTTAATTATATAAATATAATTACATTTATATGTCATCTGAAGACAGAGTTTAGGCGATTCTCTATCAGAATAATTACAATAATATGTCTATTACTAAAACATATGACTAAAAAACTCAATTAAAATGTTTTTTGCCTAAAATAATATTCCTTAGAAATACTAATTTTATATATTAATTGATTAATAATATGTATATTTGAAAACAACGTTTACTTTCATTTACGTCTGTTTAGGTTAATTGAATACCAGTTTCCTTCATAAATAAATTGCAAAAACAATTTTTGCAATTAGTTTCTCTCATTTCATACAAAAAAATCTATCAAAACATATGAATGAATGTAAAAAAAAGTTTTATAACCCGTAGAAATACAGATAAATAAAATCGTAAAGAATCTAATATTGCTTTTATTCGTGAGACAATTAATTCAGTTTTGTTTCACGTAATCAAATAAATCCAAATTTAATTGATATATAAACACGAGTTAATAAATCATACAAATTAAATGATGGTCATAATGAAAAATTTTGTCTGATGTTTATAAAAACAACTTATATTAAATAAAAATCATAATAAATTTAATATTGACTTAACATGTTATTTTAACAAGATAAATATAAAATAAATTTTGCAACAAATATTTTAAATGTTATGTATTTAAAGATTTTGTATACATTATAAATAACAGAATATTCTGTACGCAAAATACAACTGTTTATTAATCGATAACATTTACACGACACCAATATATGCATAGTATCTTATAATATTAGCAACTACCAAGTTGTAAGCATAAAAAATGATGAATGTAAATAAGATTATATTAATTTCTAAACAACTTACAAATATTCCATTTTGGATTTTGTACTAGGTCCATCAAACCACTCCATATAGCATATCACTGTAATTGTAATTTTAAATAATTAATTCATTAATATGTAAATTGGAGTCAAATTAGTTCAGTACTCGCAGTAATCGTTTCGTGCAATCATTTGATTTATAACATAGAAATCAATAAAATTTTATTGTATTTTCAGATTCTCGCACAAGAATACAAGAAAATCAAAATAATAATCAAGAAAGTGATAAAAAAGGCAATGATTTATAACAAATCATTAAACAAAACGTATGGAAAATATAATAAAATAAAAAAACAGTTTTTATATTTATAGTGTTCACGAAATTCATGCCATATTATTATATTCTGTATATTATTTTACAGAATATTATATATAGTGTGTGTATTATATTGATAAAAGTCATCATTTTCTTCCATTAATGACACTTTAAAGTATAATTTGAGTGCAATTTCTCACTCTTTTGAATCTCACCAATTTTTTGGCTGATTTTTATTTTATTTCAATTCAGTTTTATTATTATTTTTATTCATTTTGTTGTAAAATATTATTTCTTTCATTGTAACGATTTTAATGAACTAAAGTATTTTTATCTTGTATTTAGAGAGAGAGAGAGAGAAATTGCACTCAATTTATACTTTAAAGTGTCATTAAT